TTATTTAACGAGACAAAACTTTGATGAACAAAAATTATCGTATTAATCCAGTACCCAAATTTACGAGTTGCTCAGCTGTATTTCTGAAACGTCAACTCGAAACTTTTATACCTCTGAAACAGATATTTATTTATTTATTTATTTTTTTAGAATGGTAACAACATACAAAGATACACTAAACAGAAGAAGAAGAAGAACAAAAAAAACACTAACACTACTTACAATGATTGAATTACGATAGTCTACACTTACACTAATTACAATACAGTTGCCCTACTAAACAATACAAATAAACGGTGTTTACAAAAGGCAATTATATAATATGATACTTACCTAATTTCTTGCACTTTACAAAGGTACTTATAATCAATTTAAATCGCATTTTGAATACATGATTTCTCTAGCTGTATTGTATTATTTCACTTATTCCTTAATATTTATAATATGGGCAACACAAAACAGAAACAAAACAACGAAAAAGAAAGAAGGATGCTCTCAACTATGTTCTTGAAATAAAAGAAAATGAAGTTGCCATTTCACTAAAAATAATTTCAGTTTTTCTTTACATTTTTATGTACCATGAGAGCAGTTGGTTTCTCTCTTGTTTGGGGTAGGAGAATCCAACTGCTCGCAGATGAACGATGAAGTGAGCGATGGTCCATTTGGTGTCCCTTTTAAATTAGTTTCTGAATTTAGGATCTCCACGCGTTTCACTTTATTTCTAAAACACAAAATAGGTTAAGAAAGTGTCTGTTCGCGATAGTTTGAAGAAATGATGATTCACAGGAACGAAGTCTACATTATTTACCTTTACAAGCTAAGCAAACTGATTTAAACTGATGAAACAACACTAGTATCGTCAATTGTTAGCTTAAATGTGTGGATATAGCTGGAGCTAATAAGCGGCCCGTGTGTTTCTTTTCTGTAGATTTGTTTGTGCAGCAAAAAGAAAAATGGGCAATGATACAGCACGGTTTGACTTCGACGATTCACCCCGTCTGTGGAATGGAAGAACCATTAAGAGGATAATTGACGGCAATTCTACTCTCTATCTTCTAGAGAATGATCAGGTATGAATGAATTAGGTTCATATATTACGGGTCGCAGATGGTAGGCGCACAATGATTGGGTTCATTTACGGGCCGTGTTTTACCGAAAGGCCCGCTTCCGCACATTTGATTGAAATGTTTGCCTTTCTTCATGATTAGACTGAGAGATAACAACATTTTATTAACATCGCGTTCATATCCCCTTATTGTTAAATACGGGTTCGATTTAAGGAGTGCGCTGTTCGCACAAGTGTCACTAGAAGAACAGAAAGTCTCGCGAACCATGTCTAGAAGCACGGACCTGGAACTCAGTTATAAAGAACTATTTAGCTAAATTTGGACTGTTAGTGTTCTTTTGAAGTTTAGTGAATTCGTGAATGAGTCGTGAGTTTGCCTGCAATTGTTTTACTTGGTTAGGGCCCTGGATTTCGAATCCTGAGGTCCCGAGCTCAAATCCTCCTTCATGTCACTAGATATCCCGGATTCAACTCCCGAGAACACAGCAGTACTTGATACCATGACAAGCAATTTATTTATTTCATTTGAACACATAGATGGACACGTCAAGTGGAATATCTGCAAGTGATTCTGAGTCCTCACAAGGTTTGCACCATTCCCTTGATTGTGATGTACAACGAATTTAGACGTGCATTTGTTTTTTAATCGAGTCCTTAGCTTGTTGGTTTTAAACAAGGTATGATAAAATAAAACTCCTGACTCTAATCGATCAAAATCCCTTTGAGTACTCCAGCATCTTTTTTTTTCATTTAACGAATGCTAATTGACATGAAGAATACATATAATAAAGCATAGAACCATGTAGAACGTCGAGAACCTGGCGGATGGCTCAATCCTACAGTTAAGGTCTGTGATGGCGATAAAATGGACTAAAAATAGAAGGGCATTTGGAAGAGAGCGTCAATGAACTCAGGATCAAAGTGACGGTGAGCTACTACCACCCAATACACCCATCTGCATTGTCGCATGTGCTTTCTCTAGGGTAACCATTTATATAATAGCTAGATGTACAGCCTTGAAATGTTGAGATGCAGAATTCCATCAATATAATCCTTTCAGGTTACAAAATTTAACCCGAGCCGATAATCTACAGGTCTCAGTTGTTTCTAAATAACTCTAAGAGAAATTGTAATGACAGATTGAAATCTGTTTGGCTGTCAGTTAATGTTGCTGTTGTCGCTGATGTTAATTCACACTTGTAATTGTTGTTGGTGTTGATGATGATGATAACAATGACGATGTTGATGACGATGGTGGCGATGAAATTGAAATGACTCCTTTGTTGTAAACGAGGAGCTTCTTAACATTGAGCATGTAGACTTGAACAGACTTAATGTCTCCATCTTATTTTGACTACGTTACAGATGTCACAGAGATATCTTCACTGTTAACGTGGTTACGCGATAACCTTCATTTTGACGTTGAATGCAATCCAAATTACAGTCCTTTGCAGGTAAATTTTTCTTGCCTAAACAATTTCCAAACCAAGAATGTCATCGATGATAGACTGATACTCCCAAATGCCTCAAATGCAATGCCAGTTGTCTTGTAGAACACGTCTTGTATCTTGATTAACAATATAAAACAAACAGCGGTTATGAACATTTTAAAAACATGCATTTTATGAACTTGACGTTTCGTATGCTAGTCACCATACATTTTCTACTGCAGATGTTTTCTGTCTAGGTTCCAGACTCTCATTGATACAGTATAAATAGCTTTCCAAACATTTTAACGGTTATACTTTAAAAATGTATGTTGACTAGCATACGAAACGTCAAGTTCATAAAATGTATGTTTTTAAAATGTTTATCACCGCTGTTTGTTTTATATTGTTAATCAAGCTACGATGGCCGAAGACCAAGAGTTTATATGATACGTCTTGTGTCGCTTGATACCGATCTGGCATTCTGTTAAAATGATAGTTTAAGAACTCGCCATTCCTAAAAGAGGACTAAGCCCGACCTTGGTGATCAGAAACAAACCCTGAGTCGTCAGAATAATTTGGACCCTTGCTCTGTGGTTTCCATATCAATTTTGACTTTCTGATAATAATGACACTTTAGTAAAATTACTCTTAAATCAAGGTGCTTGAAAGTTTAATGGGTAACGTTTCCGGGTTAATTATTTTCTCTTTGCCCACAGGGAGGAGGTCCTTGCGTTTTTACATTTACTCCTGGGCTTCACTCCGAAGTTACATCAGTTTATGCTACATTTGAAGGGCTAGACACTCAGGAACTTGATTTTTCAAGGAGAGGTTGGCTTGGTTTCTTTCCAGGTTTGTAAAAGTTTAAAAAATATTTTCATTATTCTTTTGAGCTATAGGAACACGATACAAACAGCAGTCGAGATAGTGATGCCATTTAATTTGCACCCTTCTCGTCTGTTAGGTTTTGTGCGCTTTTAACATATGTATTCGGAAACGTCCTCAAATCAGTTCGTCTTTTCCTTTTGTTTCTTGACCAAATTACATGCGAAAAGACTATCATAATTTAGGAAATTAAAAATTTATAGAGAAGTCCAAGGGCTATATAAATTTAAAAATTTCAAGCTTTCGGTAGTCAGACTAAAGCCTTCGATGGATAAGGATAGAAAAAATGACAACTACAGATGTGTAATAAGTGAATAAAGATGGGAGGTCAGGGGTTCGATTCCTGTCGGGGACTCAGGTTTTTTCTTTGTCCCACGCTCGTGTTATTTTGATGAACTCACCTTTTACAAATATGTCATAGTAATTGGACCGAGTGGAGAACAATTCAGGGAGTAATCGCGCTCGTAATTTCAAAATCGGACGAGCGCAAAAAATTATCGTATCTATAACAAATTTCGGAATTAAAAATGTCTTTTGAGAACTGTACGGCCCCGCAAATGATCCCCATACCGCAAATGATCCCCAAATTGTACCGCAAATGATCCCGGGACCGGAACTGATTCCACGCGAAAAGTTAGGAATGACGTGGACTGCATGAAAAGTCTATGGATGGATACATATTTTCTTAATTATCCTAGGTGAAGAAAAGAGAAGTACCTCAGGCATAAAAGCAGCAATAAAAAACGTTTCTCATACTGCGCAAAATACTAAATTGACATGT